TGCCGGATCATATGTGGGGCAGCCACCGCATGCACAAGGCCACTCAGTGACCAGTATAACTGGAGATCACCAGTACCACCTCTCCACAAGGCAGCTGCCACCTACAACTGAAGGCCTCCAGGTGGTCCAAGGGGGAGGGAGGCCAGCCACTGACTCATGTGCTCGGTGACAGACTAGTCCCCCAATGAGTGGAAGAAACTGACAAAGAACACCCCCCCCAATGGGCCAAAGCACAGTTGTCGTGGGGGGGGGTACGAATATGGCTGTGGTGCTGGCCACCAGCAGGCCCCAGCAGAGGACTGTCTGCACTCCCCCCCCCCACAGGCCAAGCAGAAAGGTGCATGACCTCACCTTGGAACCCTTGATTGTGGCTGCAGTGGCTCCCAACCTTCCCAGTGAGGCTGCCACTGAAGAGAAGGGGTTCTGCTTGACTACTGCAGACAAGGTTGTCCTGCCATGCTGAAGTCACAATTGAAATGCAGTCGTGAGGTCCTGGAGGAGAAATTTAGGCTGCTGGGCAGGAGACTCAAGGCCAGGACCTCCAAGGTAGCCTTCTCAGAAGTGCTACCTGTTCCACGCGCAGGGCCAGAGAGACAGGCACAGATCCGGAGTCTCAATGCGTGGATGAGACGATGGTGTAGGGGGGAAGGGTTCAGGTTTGTTAGGCACTGGGATTCTTTTTGGAACAAGAGGGAGCTGTACAGGCGAGCAATGTTCCCTCTAAGCTGTGGAGTCTTGTGAGCAAAAATTCTACTTTGTGAGCTACTGGCATTAAAGTAGTGAGCGAGCAATTTGGCTACTGCATAAATTAGTCTGCTCTGGAGCCATCCTTCCTGAGCTAAGACAAAAATGTGTGAGCCGGAGGCTAAAAAGCTGTGAGCTAGCTCACACTAACTCAGCTTAGAGGGAACAAATGCTAGAAGTGTCCGAGGTAAAATCGGGGAGTTGGAGTGCTTGGTGTCGGAGGGAAAAATAGACATTGTGGGTATTTCTGAAACTTGGTGGGATGAGGAAAATCAGTGGGACACAGTGATTCCCGGTTATATATTATATCGGAAGGATAGGGGGGGAAGGGTTGGAGGTGGGGTAGCTCTGTATGTCAGAGAGGGTATAAAGTCTAGAAAGATTGAGAGGCTAAGTGAATTGGATTCGCTTCTGGAAGTTCTATGGGTTGAAATAGGGGGGCCAAAAGGAAACTTAACACTGGGAGTTTGTTATCGCCCACCAGATCAAAAGATAGAGGAGGATTATAAAATGATGAATGCCTTAAAGATAGCAACTAGACAAAAACACTGTGTAATAATAGGTGATTTTAACTACCCACACATTGATTGGGTCAATATGTGTTCTAGCCGGGAAAAAGAGATTGAGTTTCTAGACACTCTAAATGACTGTGCTATGGAGCAGATGGTCACGGAACCTACCAGGGGAGAGGCGATCCTTGATTTGGTCCTAAGTAACACTCAAGACCTGGTGAGAGATGTAAAAGTGATTGCACCGCTTGGGAACAGTGATCATAATGTTGTTGAGTTCAACATTTGTACAAATAGGGAATTGGCCAAAAAGACTCACACAACCATTTTTAACTTTAAAAGGGGTAATTTCTCTGATATGAGGGGACACGTGGGGAGGAAACTGAAAGGAAAAGTAGAAAGGGTCAAAACAATTGGGGAAGCTTGGGATCTATTTAAAACTACGATCCTAGAAGCTCAAAAAATATATATTCCGCAGGTTAGGAAAGGCACAAACAGGTATAAGAAAAAGCCTACATGGTTAACAAACAAAGTAATGGAAGCTGTAAAAGGTAAAAAGGATTCCTTTAAGCGGTGGAAAGCTAGTCACAGTGAGGCTGATAAAACGGAACACAGGCTATGGCAAATAAAATGCAAGTCTGTGGTCAGGCATGCAAAAAGGGAATATGAGGAGCATATAGCAAAAAATGTAAAGACCAACAATAAAACTTTCTTCAAATACATTAGAAACAGGAAACCAGCCAGGGAGGCAGTGGGGCCCTTGGACGACCAAGGGGTAAAAGGAGTATTGAAGGATGATAGGGAAATGGCTGAGAAGCTAAATGCATTTTTTGCCTCCGTCTTCACTGTGGAAGATGAGAAGTGCTTGCCCACTCCAGAACCACTGATTTCAGGAGGGGTGTTGAAAGACCTGAGTCAGATTGAGGTGACGAGAGAGGAGGTCCTAAAACTGATAAACAACTTAAAAACTGATAAATCACCAGGCCCAGATGGCATACATCCAAGAGTTCTGAAAGAACTCAATTGTGAACTTGTGGATCTCCTGACAAAAATATGTAATCTCTCCTTAAAATCAGCCTCCATTCCTGAGGACTGGAAGGTAGCTAATGTCACTCCCATCTTTAAAAAGGGTTCCAGGGGAGATCCGGGAAATTACAGGCCAGTCAGTCTGACGTCGATACCGGGTAAATTGGTGGAAACCATTATTAAGGAAAGAATTAGTAGGCACATAGATGAACAAAACCTATTGAGGCAGACTCAGCACGGTTTCTGTAAGGGAAGATCTTGTCTCACTAACCTGTTAGTGTTCTTTGAGGGGGTGAACAAACATGTGGACAAGGGGGATCCAATAGATATTGTTTACCTTGACTTCCAGAAAGCTTTTGATAAAGTTCCTCATCAAAGGCTCCTAAGCAAGCTCAAAAATCATGGGATAAAAGGACAAGTCCTTTTATGGATCAAAAACTGGCTAGTTCATAGAAAACAGAGAGTGAGTGTAGGTGGGCAATTTTCTCAGTGGAGGGTGGTAAGCAGTGGGGTACCGCAGGGATCAGTACTTGGTCCACTGCTTTTTAACTTGTTCATTAATGATTTGGAGATGGGAGTAAGCAGTGAAGTGGCTAAATTTGCGGATGATACGAAGTTGTTCAGGGTGGTGAAAACCAGTGAGGATTGTGAGGCACTCCAAAGGGATCTGTCAAAGTTGGGCGAGTGGGCGTCAACATGGCAAATGGGGTTCAATGTGGCCAAGTGCAAGGTGATGCACATTGGAGCCAAAAATCCTAACTATAAATACACGTTGATGGGGTCTGAACTGGCAGAGACAGATCAAGAGAGAGATCTTGGAGTTGTAGTAGATAACTCACTGAAAATGTCGAGACAGTGTGTGACTGCAATAAAGAAGGCCAATGCTATGCTGGGGATTATTAGGAAGGGTATTGAAAACAGATCAGCCAATATAATAATGCCCCTATATAAATCAATGGTGAGACCTCATTTGGAATACTGTGTGCAGTTCTGGTCACCACACCTTAAAAAGGATATTATAGCTTTGGAAAAAGTGCAGAAAAGAGCAACTCGAATGATAAAAGGGTTGGAACACTTTCCCTATGAGGAACGGTTAAGGCGCTTAGGGCTCTTTAGCTTGGAGAAACGACGACTGAGGGGTGACATGATTGAGGTTTATAAGATTATGCATGGGAAAGAGCAGGTAGAGAAAGAGGTACTTTTCTCCCTTTCTCACAATACAAGAACTCGTGGGCACTCCATGAAATTGCTGAGCGGTCGGGTTAGAACGGATAAGAGGAAGTACTTCTTCACCCAAAGAGTGATTAACACTTGGAATTCACTGCCACAGGAAGTGGTGGCGGCTACAAGCATGGACGGCTTCAAGAGGGAATTAGATAAGCATATGGAGCAGAGGTCCATCAGTGGCTATTAGCCACAAGGTATAGATAGGGACTCTGGGGCAAGTGATGCTCTGTCATCTTGGTGCTTGGGGGGGGTCAACAGTGGGAGGGCTTCTAATGTCCTGGCCCCACTGGTGGACCTCCTGATGGCACTGGTATTTCTGGCCACTGTGGGATACAGAGTGTTGGACTGGATGGGCCTTTGGCCTGATCCAACATTGGCATCTCTTATGTTCTTATGTTATTAAGTGTCTCTGCCCACTCCCCCCGCCCCCAAGCAGCTTCCTGTTCCCTCCCTTGCAGTTGCTTGCAGGCTGGATACACATTCTGAATGGTCCAGTTCTAGCCCCCAGGCCTTATGTTCTAGGCAGCCATTCCAAATGACTCATCATGTCCAAAGTAAAAAAAAATAAAGGCTGTATAGTTCAGTCTAGACTTACTCCAACCTAAAAATAAATGGCTTTTAGACTGTTCTGAAAGCCACACTTCAGCAAGGGTTTGCAAAACAGAAATTGTAGCTCTGAAGAGCCAGTGCAGTGCAGCACCTAAGAGAATGAGCTATTCCATTCCCAGGCAAACTCTGAACATTGGTGTGCGGGGGGGGGGATGCTCTATTAGTATTATTAATAAAAATGTATTACTCATCAGCGGGAGGAATAATGATCTCACGCTTCATCTTCAGCTGCATGCCCCATTAACTATTCAAAGCAAAGTCTATTCACCTCCAACTTTATCACCAAGTCCGTTTAACTGTTAACCTGCTTTCAAAGTTTTACTGTTTATGGGCTGTTGCTTTCATGAACTAACATAGTATTTACCAGTAACTTCACACTACATGCAGCACACCCACTGCTTTTATGAAAGCGAACTACTACAGCAGCCCTCAGGCTGGCAGAGCAAGCAACGTGCTCCTGCATAATCACAGCTAACTAGTCACCAGGTAAACCGAAGGCCTTCTAAAGTACCCACAGTAATGAATGCGCTCACCATCTGCTTGTTTATAAGATCTGCATTCTGCCCTCCTACTTTAAAAAACAAAACAAAGCACCATGTAATCAGTTTGTCAGCAAAGCATTAACTGGCACGGTAACTATTTCTACAAAGGCAGTGCCAACAGCCTAGCAGCCTCAGCACACTGTAAACTCATTTGCACCACCAGTCATGCTGGGCAGATTCAAATTCAGCTGATGAAAAGAGTGTCCCGAGGCTGTTTTGCAAGTAAGACACCAAAAACTGCCCACAGAGAACTTTTAATGTTGAGAGGAAAATATTATCATTGCAGCCAGTAAAGAGAGAAGCAAAGCTATGCTGGGAAAGCTCAGGAGATCGCTTTACTTACTACTCCACAAGAACTGGGTCCACCATGGAAGAGTGTGCAAGTCATTCTGACTATTTCTGCTTCCATTTTCCTCACGCCTGGGAATACATCTGGATGAAGAGGGTTACTCCATGCAAATTCCTCATAGACCTTCAGAAAGAAAAATCAGCATATTACAGTTAGGGTGTGATCACACCAGAAATGTTAATAATATCACTCCACACACACACCCCAAATAGTGATTACAGTCTAAACTATCCAAACACTTTTTGTTACAGAAGGAAGTTGTCAACCTTTCTCTCCACCAAGGAACACTTAATTTGGTGAAGTCTGATGTTCCACAGAATTTTCCTAGAAAAGCTTCAAAAATCCTGTCCACACCATCATTTCCTACAAAGAACTGGGGGGGGGGGGGCAGAATTTAGATGTCACATCAAGCTAACATGAAACCTACATGTACACAAAACCAGCTTGGTGATGGGCTTGTGCTTCTCTCCTCTCTTTTCATGCAGGAAGGAATGCTGGTGAAAAACTACTCTGGTTACCCATGATATAGCAATTCTGGTACCATGGCTTAACTAAAATTAGCTCCCAAAACTCATCCGCCCATAAGAAGTCTAAGCCTGGATTAAACCTTGTGGGAGGAAAAGGTAACTCCAGTTAAGCTGTGTGCCCACATTTGTATGTCACAGGTAAACACAATTACTTTTAAACCAGAAATCTTTTATCACACACTGCATCAGAGGAAAGACGGAGGAACACAGAAGAGGCCAGCGACAAATCAGATTCATGCACAGTCAGGCTTAAGGTTGGCCTAATTCTGAGTGCAGACTGAAGAGGCATCTAGAAAGGGTTAAAAAAAGAAGTACTGTTCTTCGGTCGCATTCTAAAGAACTGACAGGAGAAGCAGCAGATGCACTTTTTTGAAAGGTAAATATGTATCTGCTTCTTTCCTCATTGAACTCCCCTTTCCATGAGACAGAAAAAAATGTTCACTATGTTAGTGATTTGCTGAAGCGAAGCCACTGCACGTGGTAACTTAAAAAGAAAAAGAAAAGCATCGTACAAAGATGGCCTGCCCTTCACATAATGGGGCACAAACTACATTGAAATGGGTTGTTTCCACTGACTCGCAGCACACATTCAGGGAATTGGGGGGGGGGGGGGTTTAAGGAAATAAACACAGTATACACACCCAGCTGCCAACTTAATGATATATTTTAGTGCATAGAACTATTTGTCTTTGGGCCACACCTATTTTCAGCTTTTGTTCATCATTTGTCAACACAGAACTTTACAAAAAAGATGTAAGAGGATCTATGTAAAGATTACATGCAAACCCCCCTCCCCCATTTTTAGAGCCATGTCATGAGAGGGCAATTTAAAATGGCCGTGTAGCAGATTTTTAAAAATATATATTTAATCTTTTCTCTGGTTACTGCTTCCCAAATTCTGGCCACAGATCCTATCTTAGGCAGAAGAAGCATCCTTTCCCCCTAAGGAGCCTTCTCCAACTTATGTGGCTTTTCCATTGGACTAAGGCTCATTAGGCTGGATGAAGGAAGGGGAACTAAACAGGGTCAGTTCTTGAATGGGAGACCATCAGGAAAGACTATGCAGGAGGAGGCAATGGCAAACCACCTCTTGCCTTGAATGCCCAATGGCTGGAGGTCACCATGAACTGGTTACAACTCTACAGCATATTCTTCTTCTCCATGCACATGTTTACAAATGGAGGTCACCATGAGCTGGTTACAACTCTACAGCATATTCTTCTTCTCCATGCATGTTTACAAACGTAAGCATGTCTGGAACCCTGGTTGGGTTGAGAGGTGGAACAGAGGATTAAGCACCCCCTTCCACATGCTAAATTGTACCGTCTTGAAGCAGCTTTTTAAAATATATATATGTGTGTGTTTGTGTGTGTGTGCGTGCATGTCACATACATTTGCGTGTCACATACATTTGCGCACAATATCTAGTTATGCCCTGAATCTTGATACTATCATATTTTATGCATCATCTAGATACTTCTTTAACAGTTACTCAAAACATATCATATCCTCCATTTCCTTTTCCAGATCCAGCAGTCCATGACCAAGCCCCAAGATATCTCAATTTCCAAGACCACAGAGGGACTTCTTTGAGCCATCACATGCATTTGGGGGGTCATAACAGACTCCAAGCGAGTATAAAACTATGCAAAAGAAGCCCACACCCTTCCATCAAAAATATGAAAAAAACAAAGGGAAGAAGATTGTTCAGTGGTGGGGAGAAAGAAAAAGAGATTGGTGGGCTTATCTAAAAGGGTACTGAAGACTAAATTTAACGGAATATGAGAAAAAGGAAACACTGTGCATCCCAAGTACTTTGTATCTAAAATGAACCCAGCGATGCAATAGCTACTTTAGGTGGATGCAGCAGTTAACATAAGGAGACATCAAGCATTCAGTAGTGCTACTTTATTCATTCCTCCAGATGGGAAAAGTACACAAATAAGGTTTCTGATTCAACATCAGCTGTCATTACGGACCCAGATACCAGCACTATATAATTCTATGCCTAGACTTTCAACAAGAATCTTGAATATATTTTCACTTTTTTCTTTTAGACTGCAGTGGGGTAACTATCACATACACCTAATAAAAAAAGAAAGAAAACTGGGACTCAATCTGGATTCTATTTCAACTCCAACCTCACATATAGTGCTTTTAGCAAGGATGGGAAGTTTAGCTGAGCATGTGTGTTCATTTGTCTCACAAGACTACACCAGCATGTTTTGCTAGGTACAGAGACTTGAGAGAGAACCTAAAATGAAGTTCCTGTGCACAGGGATTTACATCTCTCTTGGAAGTTAAATTTAATTTGGAAACACCGTGCAAGAACACAGAAGTGGTGCAGACTGGCACTGCAAATGTGGGTGGGAAGAGAACTAAAACAGAATAACCCATAAATATGGCAAGATACTCCCCCCCCCCATGCTTGTGATGAGAGAAAGCACATGGAGATGATCTGGTGAAGACATACCCTAAGCAAACAATAGCCACATGCCAGCTCACCAGCTTCTCAATATAAGGCTTTTCCTCCATAGTTCTTAAAGAGGATTTTATTGAAGGGCAGTTATGCCATATTTTGAGACAGGACAGGGAAAATCCCAGGCACCTAGAAATAAGAAATATTTTACCAGCTTTGCTAGATCCCTAGTAAGAACATCCATCCTTACTCACACAAGCCAACAGTTTCTGTTTCACAGCACTTGGCCAAGCATGCTTAAAAGCATTACCTTCTCCCAGCATGCCTTTAAGAACCAGAATACAGGGTGGCTCCATAGTGAAATATACAGTCTGTGTAATGGGAAACCCTTGGGCAGTGCTTTAAAGAACATAGATCGGCTTTCCACCCTTAATTCAGACACTCTAGGAAGTGAAAAGAAGCACACTGAGTCTTGGAATTGGAATACAGATGTCCCCCCATCAATTTCAATTTAGAGGAGCATCACAGCAGGGAAGATGCAGTGGTATGGTGCAGACACACACTCCCAGACTCACATCCTCTTGCTTGGTTCACAGTAAGCAAATACTTAGAAGAAATTATTTAGAGGAGCATCACAGCAGGGAGAATGCAGTGGTATGGTGCAGACACACACACACACACACACACTCCCAGACTCACATCCTCTTGCTTGGTTCACAGTAGGCAAATACTTAGAAGAAATTATAAACCTCGTGAAAAATACTAACAGTTGATCAACTGAATACAAGGTGAAAAGAGGTGCAAGGCAGGCCTACGGCACACTGCAAAGGAGCACAGAAAGAGGGGGAAATCATACTGGGCATGAAATTCAGTTTCCTGAGAATCTCAACAGTCACTAAGCAAAGATGTCCAGCCCCTACAGCTTAAAGATATTCCTGCAGGCTGCAACCACAGAAGCTAGAAGAGTTACTAAATAAAGCTGCCAGTGGTTGGAGACAGAACATCAATGCACAGTGACTGTCTTCCCACCAGTCACAATCAGCAAATCCTACAGAAGACTCACCATGGCAAAATTATGCAAAATAAAAGAAAATAATACAAACTGGCTCAACCTCCATAATTCTACTTCTCTGGCATGTGTACATACAACTGTGACTTACGTAGTCACAAGCTTAAAGAAGATCCTGAAAAACAATCTGATGAATTCATCTCTGTATGCGTTAGTCTGGATGTTATACGAACATTTGCTACACAACAGCACGTCCCATATGCTCCTTAACAGCTGTCTTTCTGCTCCTCTCTATCAATTATTAATAAAAAACTAAACAGATTTCACCCATACAAACATTCAACACCAGTGGTCACTCTTTTGGGTGTCATCTTTAACTTCAAAGAGTATCACTCCATCGCAGGTCATATATAGGCCACTGTGCCTGGAGACTGATTTTACTTCTAGTCTGCTAAGGAGGGAAGCAGACAGCAAAACAACACAGAAGAGCCAGGCAGGAACACAGGCTCTAGCTGTGTGGCACAGATTCTCCAGCTCCTGTCCAGATGGGCTACAAACCCTTGCTGTAAGGGCCACACAGGTTGGCCACCTCTGATCTACAACACTTCCTAAATAATTAAGCTGTTTCTGCAGCCAGCTCTAAACTAACATTTCTTATTTCTTCAGAGAGATCTCGGTTAAATAGTACTGTAAATATCCCTCATCAAGCAGTGATGAGCATGACCACCTGAGACGCCATGTCCTGTCTGAAACTAGTATCAGAGTCTAGTCAGTGCAGACAGCCTGGAAAATGGAAAGCTGCAACATCAGGAAAACTGCAAGAAACGTCAAAAGGACACCCCCCCCCAAATACACAGATGCCAGATTGTAAATGTTCCCCACTAGTTTTTACTTGAGGAAGGCAGGCGAAGACAAAACCAAATATGTACACTAACATGGCAAAAATACACTGTACTTTTTGCGGCATAACCTTGCCACTAAGACTGCTAGGAGGCATATGTTATATAAATTATGGAAGTTGTTGCTGTTCTCAGTTCCCTTTAAGTAATAAACACAGCCGTGTGGTTGGCTGTGGAAAGTACTACCTGACATAAAAACCAGAACACCCATTGTCTCCATGTGTGGGTGAAAACATGTATGCAGGAAGTTTTAAGCAATTATTCAGCCAGCTACAAGGAGAGCACAAAGTGCTCAGTTCCCACATTTCTAGGGCTAGGTTTAGCATTATACTGAGCAGGAGATGTACTAGTCTAGCAGGGACTGGTACGTATCTGAAAGGAAATGCACTAGAAAGTCTATTGAATTGCCTTTTTAATTAAATGCAAAGTGTCCCCGTAGAACAGAAAAATTGGTGAAAGCCATTCTTCATACGGTTTCCCCATCCTAAGTATTCATTATATTGTTTAGGCCTACGGGAGGAGGGAGAGAGATCTGGGTCATTTCCACTCGTCACAGATTTAGCTTGAATATTTACAAGCTAAACAGGATCCTAAGTGGGCAAAAGACACCACAGTTGAGCCTCCTACAGAAACTCAAGACTGGCACAGCAAGTTTCCTGCCCTAGAGGACCAAAATGAATTAGCATGGCTTCTCAAAACAGTCTTATTAAGTATGATACAACCGGTGTCACGTGTTACCGCCGTCAACTGCAATAAAAGCCACAGCAGGACACAGCCAATAAACACATTCCTTTCTGGTGCACTGTGTGCATTGTTGAAATATGGTCATATCTTTTCCTGAATATCGATAGCAATGTGCTTCCCAACACATCTTGTGCAAATCTACTTTATTTTTGTCTTCAGACGAACATTTTAGGGGAGGGGGAGTATTTTTAGTAACTATCTTATAGGACAAAATTCATTTCATTTGAACTATTTTTTTAAATATACACATGCTCAATAACCTTAAATACATGCTGCATTACCTTCACTAGCAGTTTAGTAAGTTTGTCTTCCCCACTGTAGACCGTTCCTGAAACCCTGCCATCTTCCCAGCGTACTTTTCCTGAAAATAGTGAGACAAAAATTGGTTGGTATTCTTATTTAAAAACACTTTACTGATCAATTCTGAAGTTTACTGTTTGCATTCTTTTGCTTTGCAATGACTACAGAAGTTGACATTCTGCCATTTTCAAATGGCAACACAAATGCATCTCAGTCAAAACAGCCAATAGCTTAAGCTCTCTCAAATCCTATGTAGGCATTTGCCAAATTTTGCCAAATAAGTGATAAGGTTTTTCTTTATTGGACTACTACAGAAGCTAACAGGTTCAGATCTCTGTTGTTGTTGTTGTTCAGTCGCACAGTCAAGTCCGACTCTTTGCGACCCCATGGACCAGATCATGCCAGTCCTTCCTGTCTTCTGCCGTCCTCTGAAGTTGGCTCAATTTCATGTTCGTTGCATCTATGACACTGTCTAACCATCTCATCCTTTGCCGTTCCTGTCTTCTTTGACCTTCAATCTTTCCCAGCATCAGGGTCTTCTCCAGTGAGTGCTCCCTTCTCATTTGGTGGCCAAAGTATTTGAGCATCAGTTTCATTATCTGGCCTTCCAGGGAACAGTCAGGGTTGATCACTTTTAGGATTGACTGATTTGATCTTCTTGCAGTCCAAGGGACTCTCAAGAGTCTTCTCCAGCACCATAGTTCAAAAGAATCTATTCTTCGGCGCTTGGCCATACATGACTACTGGGAATACCATTGCTTTGACCATGCGGACTTTTGTTGGCAGGGTGATGTCTCTACTTTTTATCATGCTGTTTAGGTTCGCCATCGCTTTCCTC